TGTCACATCGTCCGATGTTGGTGAGATCGGTGGATGTTGACGCTCTAGCATTAGTAGTACTCATAGAGCAATTATAGAGATTTGATCTACGGATATGAGTTAGAACAAAGGCAGTTTTGATATATGATTATGAGTTTGGTAACAAGGCATTTATGTGAATCCTTGAGACCATCAAGTACAATACTAGTTTAATGTCGGCCCGGTTCGATCGAAATTCTGGCCCGTGCCTTGCCTTATCAAGTTCTCGGGTTTGAATATAGAACAATTGATAGTAGGAGTGAGCACAATACCGGTCCAACCCGAGAACCGATCCTGTTCATGATTCAAATAACCGTTTGTTTCCCGTTTTGCGCAAGGAACCGGACTAGACTGATATGCCTTAATTTTTGTTTTTAATTTTTTTTCTTCTTCTAATTTTCTAAACTAAAGCTACATCGGGCCTCTTGCACTTGTTAACCTTTTAAGGAAAAGCCCACTCGCAGCAGATTTGCAGAGATTTGTGTCTTTCTCGCTGCAAATATGAACGTTGCTTTTGTTCTGGTGCTTCATAAACGCATCCCAACAATCATGCTCCTAAAATTGACGCAAACATTTATTTAACGAATAAACCGAAAATAATGTGCTTTTTTTTTAGTATTGGGAAACTCTTAAACAATAGAAGAAATACAGAAAAAGGGAAATAACCGCCGACTCCTGGACCGATCTTGGAATCGACCCGGACCGATCAGTCCAGTTTCAGGATCAGGTGGGCCGATTCCTAATTCCACAAACTGCAAACTATCCTTGCCCGATCCAGTTCCAGGGGCGAAACCGACTCACCTTAGAACCGATCATCACATAATAATTAGAGCAGGAGGTTTTGAGCCAAAATTGTTCCAATCGTTTTAGTCCCTTATTCGCCTCTCCTATCATTAAACCAAGCCTTCATTCAATAACTAAAATTTATAGAACGGCTAGCAGTGATTCTATAATATTTTAGTTGTTCTATCAGATTTTACACATCATATGTCAACTTAGACTAATTTGAGAAAGTGCTCGCTCTTTTCCAAAGTGCCTGGTGCTTGCACTCTAGAATTGTTCAACAAGACAAGAAAGGGATAAACAATAGGACATAGGTACATCACACTTTGCACACACTTTTGGACAATCTCTAGAAGTATAGACTTGTTTATCTTCGATAATTAAATTACTTGAAGGGTATCGAAAGTTGAAACTATCACTCTTGATCGAGATCAATCGAATGCCAAAACGGTTCGGAGACGTGAAAACACATCGAGAGATACGCGGAGATCAGTCGAGCGATCGACGAGAACATGAAATGGCCAAAATAAGGGCACCGGAAGCACTATTCTCCATCTATCTAGGGAGCAAGCCCAAAATTCAAAAGATTCAGTTATATTTCTTTCCAATTCCTCTAATCGATTTCCAGATTAATGCGTTCAATACATATATATCACCCGAACTTATATCTCACTTAAGTTTGCATGTGGGTAACATCATAACTCATCGCTCACTATTTAAAGACATAGTAGGTCGAAAAGGATAGAGCAAAATATAATCGAATACAAATATAAACGGTCAAAGAAATATATCGGACTCGTATCTTAAATATATATACATAAATATGCGTATTTTGATTGTCAATGATAATGATAAGTGATATGTTCTGGACTGTGTCTTTTTCACCGGAATACGATACCAAAACTGATCTGGGAAAAAATGAAAAAGGAACCACCTAAACCCCCCCAAAAAAAGGGGGAAAAAGAGGATTTAATTCCTTCTGTCTTGACCTCCACCAACTCACACCTCTCAAGCTTCATCTTCATCTTTTTTTTTTTCATTTTACTAATCATCCAAAATTACAAATATTAATTGAAAATTAGGAAAAGTAAAACGCTACGAAAAACGGCTCCCGAAATCGCTCCACCCCTACAACCCTCCTCCAAGGCCCTCCATGAGCGGGACCCAGCTGAGCGCCTTTTCCAGCCACTCGTCGTCGTCGTCGATCTCCACCCCGTCGCCGCCGCCCGCTTCCCCCGCCTCCCCGAGACCCTCTCCGCCGCCCGACGGCCCGCTCAGCCCCCCGGCGCGGCACGTGAAGTGGACCCCGGCCATCACCGTCGATGCGGTCTCCGAGACCGAGGCTCCGCAGCTCCCGTTCTTGCCGTTCTTCTCTACCGACGCGGGCGGCTGCTGCTGCTGCGGCGGCGGCGGCGGCGGCGAGGCGGGGACGTTGGCGAAATCGTTCTGGCCCGTGATCTCTTCGTACAGCTCGTGCATTACTTTCTCCACGAGCTCTTCCTCGATGGGGAGCTCCGGGGAGAGGCCGCCCTCCTCGTCGGAGTCCGCGAGGAAGCCGGTCAGAGCTCCGGCGAACCCGCCGGTCACCTCCGGATCCGGCCTCTTCTCGGGACCCTGCTCCATGCTTGTCGCGTCGACGCAGAGAGAGACGAAGTGGAGAGAGTAAGAGCTCACGAATATTGTTTGGGAGGGAGCGACTCAGTGCCCTGACTTCTTATCGGGCGGGCTGCATGGGGGCGCCACCGTGGCACGCCAGCGGTGACACGTAGGACGAGGGCGTCAGGGGAGATGACGTGGCGACATTGACGAAGAAGATGAAGGAGGGTTCCGCTGGGCGTTGCAGTAGCGGAGAACCATATGATGTTTCGGGGTTTCGGGCACAGAGTCCTTGTTTGTCGCGACTTGGGACTGGAGGTAGTAGGTCAGTCTTTTGAGTCAGGTGTGTGTATGATTGCCCTGCACTGGGGAGAGTAGAGTAGAAGGGGCAACAAAAGCTGGAAAAATTTCAGGTACATCCCAATTAATTTTTTTCATTTAAAAAATTCGGATTAATGTTACAAAAAAACTCTAAACTGTCGTATTCGTGATAAATTTACCTAAAATTAATTTTTTGACCACAAAAAATCCCAAACCGGTACACCTGTGACAATTTTACCCTCCGTTAGTTTCCATTAAGTTTTACTGCAAAATTTATGAGTTTGATGACGCGTGGCAGTTAACGGGTGTACCGATTTGGGTTTTTAACCTCCATTTATCACAAGTGTATTAATTTGTGATTTTTCGTGATATTATTTCAAAATAACGGAGGGTAAATTTGTCATGAATATACCAATTTTGGGTTTTTTGTGATCAAAAAATTAGATTAGGGTAAATTTGTCACAAGTGTATCAGTTTAGGATTTTTGGTGATTAAAAAATTAGTTTGGGGTAATTTATCTCAAATATACTAGTTTGGGATTTTTTGTGGTATTAATCTTTAAAAAAATTTAGGGTTTTGTTGGCCTGATTTTCCCAAGAGTCAAAAATTAAATTTTTTTATTTTATTTTCTCATTAAAATCGAAAATATTATCCATAATTTATATGGTTTACATTAGGAGATTGTTAAAGGGTGGGTTTCCATATACTTTGTTAAGCATTGCAGCTTTTAATGTATTGCCTTTCTCGTGTGTTTTGTATAGTCGATGTCTTGAAAAATCGAAACATTTATGCCTATAGTATGCTTGATAAGTGCCCGGTGGACATTCGATATCAAGACCATCCATTACAAAGGTCTAACTATGTGTCTCATGAGATTTGAAAAAAAATAGCAAAAATCACTTCAAACAAACTCTTAAATGCTATCTTTATCGTTCAATTTGAGTTACGTGCAAGTTTTAATAAATCTCACTTATTTTTTTCCCCAAAATTAATTGTCTCGATTGCTTTAGAAATATGAAAAGTTGTACTACAAGGGTACCCAATATTTACTCGACAAAAGTTGCCAACACGCAAGCACCTGGTGAATAATTATTGGGCACACCCGCACATGAGAACGTGATGCATCTGAACATCAAATTTGTTCGGACTCCAAGTGAAGTCCACATGATTTGATTGCTCATGTGTATTGGGTTTACATGAGTCTAGTACGAGATACAAGCATTGATCTACTTAGAAGTTATCATTACGTTCGCTCATAATCAGTCCCCGATTCAAATGTTCATATTTTGTTGGATGATGCACGAATAGTTAGGTTCCCATTCAATGGGAAGATGAATATAACTTAATGATTAAAACCCTATTTAAGATAGTTACTTGCTAAGAGTTACCGAGCGGGTTCTTAGTCGATACAACTTTGGCTAGTCATAAAACAAGCCCTCGACTTTTACCTTATTTACTCTTTAACCAGCCCTGGAACAGGAAAAAGGGTGTGGCCATACCGGCATTAATGCACAGGATCCCATCAGCCCTGGAATGGAGATAGTTCGAAGTCTCTATTATTGATACTCAACTTTCACCCACCATTATAATTGGCTTCACTTAGAATCATTTACTCTCCATGCATGGTATGTAAGTGTGATGCTTTTGGCCCCTCAACAAGACACTTTCAGACAAACAAAAATTGAAGTCGCGGGCTTTCAATTCCCCTAATCTTCATCCAATTTCATTGCCACCCTTTCCATTAAGAAACAAGACATGTCTCCTGGCTCTTCATTGATTCTACCGGACACTTTTCCCCCACCTTCGAAAAAATTCAAATAAGATCGTACGTGGGGAACGCACACCATTCATAGGTGTCGGCCTACTAGATGTTAATGCACTTGACTATTGATTATGGATTGGAAGCATCTCAGCACTTGGTCAACGAGGGTTAGTTGAGATAATGCGGAACCCAACTACTCTTCAATCAACAGAAGGATACACTTCGTGTCGTTTATGAGATAATCATGCGCGTACCTCTGTTTTTGTTCCCCGCTTCATCTTTCTTGCAATGCTGACCATCTTGATCATGACTTATCATTGTGATTAAGGGAGCATCATTATTAGTGGGAAGGACAAACATGTGTCCTGTAAATTCAAGGTTGCAATCCCTGATGAACAGATGCTTCCAACACATGACCGAGATTACTGATCCATCAGGCAGGATACAGTAGGCTGGAACTAGTGCCACTATGTTAGGACTTGAATACCCAAAGAATGGTGCTCGCGAAGCTGTTCCCAAGTTTTCAGAAGTAAAATTTCATTCCCATGGGGGCATCGGGGACCCGGTCCCAGAGCAATAGTTACATTTAGTCCATTTGTAATATATAGCAGCATGACAGCTTCGTGTGTATACAGTATTCAATGCAATTCCCACAGACCCAAGAGTTTGCTGTTTCATGGAGTTGCGGGCAAGGCTTCAGTATGGCTATGATAATCCACAAAACAATGGCGTAATGGAGAAACGGGTCACAGCTATACCAAAAAGCCAATTGATGGAGGCAATCCTCCTAGATTTCCAGCAGTCAGATTGAAGGGATGGTGAGTTCAAGCATAACAGACATTACTAGTCACTCGTCGTCAGGAGGCAGCGTAGGGCTTTTAGAACACATATCAATCTTATGAAGCTCTCTCATCTTAGTGGCCGGACGGCATAAACCTGGAGATTTCCCCACTTTGGTCATTTTTTTCTAGGTAAAAAGAGAGGCTAAAACAAGCAATGAAATTGCAACTCTCTTACCTGAACATTTTGGGATGTCCCACACCGCAACTGATGTAGGTGTGCATCGAGGATCACATATTGCTCGGTTGTCCTCATGATATACGTTCATAGCGAGCATCCACGAACCAATAGTAACATCCTCATTGCTAAACATTCTCAAGCTGAGAGCCAAAAATTGCACTGTCTCAGCTGTAGAAGAAACTTAGACACGAGAATCAAAAAGCCGCTCTAGATGGAAAGAGAGACGTAACCATGTAATCTACAATGACATGAACAGGTGGTAGAAGAATGAAACGAAAATCCAGGGAAAATACAGAAATATGATGAGCACATCCAAGATGACACGCTTGTTGTTATGTCCAAGATGAACAGTCCTGGTAATCCAATATTTTTTTGGGTCAAAATGGTAATCCAATTTAGCCACACAGAATTATCTGCAAATTGGATTTCCATGTGCTAAAGAAGCTTATTAACCACCACAAATGCAATTGACCACAGTTCTTTGCTCTGCTTGCTTTGGATATAAAAGTTTATCAGGGACATAAATACATGAAGATCACAACACGAATGTAAAGTTGTCCAGTCCGTGAATCAAGAATGTAGAGTTCCAACTATCTCAAATTCACCTAATAAGAGAAGTTCGACAATCAGGAAAATAAAAAGGAGAACATGGCAGGAAAAAAAGTAATACTAAAAGAGCTAATGGGCTGCACAGATTTGTAGAAATGACATACCTGTTATTTCTAGCAGTAGCAAGTGAAGCTACCACTTCTGCAGACAGAACGTACATAGGGCCATACCCATGCAAGAAATATTCAGTTCCAATCAGATGGCCTGATTTTTCATACCTGAAAGGTACATATTAACAAATTAAAAAGTCTCTAGACAGGACGAGGTCCAAATACAAATTCCCGAACGCAACCAAGCCACATAAAAGTAAAAAATTTCACAACTCTGTAGAGTGTAGAGCACTTACCATTTCAGCTTCGGGTCAGTTACGACTGGCCCTTTCTTCATGCATCCGATGTAAGTAAGAGAATGTTTTCGCTCTTTAGCTAATAAAGTCGCAAGACGATCTGACACATTGGGAATCTACCATTAAACTGCATTGGAGCCAAGGACCACTACTCAAAGAGATTCACACACTTAGATATACCTGGACGCAGATATATATCGTCATCCGCCTTAACATAATACTCTGCTTCAAAAAGTTCAAATGCTGCCTTAAAATATGCCAGCCTGACAGGTAGACCATTACTACATAAGCTCTCATGATTCATAATCATCAACCACGCTGCACATAAAAAGTAGCGGCTCTTACGTCTTGTATGGGAGCCTTAAATATTCTTCTTCGACATCAATGAGCATGAAATCCTTATACTCATCGACCTCTTTCTGAAGTCTGGTCATCTTCGTCGCATCCTTTGATCGCCCAATCACAAATCTAAAAGACAAACCAGTAGCTTGTTCCAACCTATGGATAAGAGCAATGAAGGAGTCTATGCCACATATGGGAACATGCAAAGCAAAAAAGTAAAATCCGGTCGGGAGCAAGAATTCCTAATGTGAAGCAATACTCGTTGCGTAATTCTGTCTCAAAGTATGAACAGAGAACAGAGTGCCATCTTGAGAGCTAAGTACAACAAATATCATTTGCAGTTTGCACCAAATAATCTGGCTAGCTGAGTATAGCTCATAACCTCCAATATGAACTCCCCAATTGCAGAGTTCCATATTAAACTATCCAATTCCACACATAAATCGCACTTGCGAACATTTGACCATGAGCAGATAATATAAGAGGAAGTCCTGCATTTTCATTTGTTAGGCCTTCACTTCCTAAAACCGAGGGAAAGAGCACATTTGGCGGAGCACATTTGCTTCCTTTGTGAACTAGGAGACAGTTGCCCTCTAAACCTCAGTCTATTTGTTCAAAAGTACTGTAGCATTGTCTTGGCTATTTCTGAACATTGATTTACAGTAAAAAACTCTGGATCACCACATAACAACAGAATCAACCATCTAATACACTAGCTAAAATCCCAAAAACCAAGCTCAAAGCCATAGTACTAAACACCAACAATGCGATCCCCATTTTTTGATTTTGACACCTGCACTGAGCACCCAATCAATGAAAGATGAAAACTTTACACGAACCCAAGAGCAAGTACCTCAAAAGCCCATCAGGGTCAGAAGCAAGCCAAGTGCTCCTAATAGCAGCTCGGCGATCGGCAGAGTCAAACCCGGTCTGAATGCCAACGAGACCCAAAAGCTTGGGACGATCCGCCGCCGTAGCCAACCCGCCGTTGCCACCATCACCGAGCTTTCTCGAACCGGAAGCCGAGTATAAAGCCCGGAAAGTGTCCACGCTCCTTCCGCACCGGAAGACGGGCGAGGGCCCCGGCCGCCGGAGAGCATAGAGAGAGAAGGAGACTCCGGCGACGCCGATCGCGAGGGAGACGACCGAGAAGGCGACGACGGGCAGGAGAATCCGGCGGGAGTAGGGAGGAGCGGGAGCGGGTCTGTGGGGCTTGTCGGGCTTGGAGGTGTAGGAGGGTGCGGCGGACGACGGCGGAGGAGAAGCGGAGGTGCGGTGGTGAGAGAGGAGTGGCATTTCTGGTGCGAGCTCGGGCGCTAGAGCTGGATCATTTGGTGGAGATGGATGGAACCAGAGGGGTGTTCTTGATTTGCTCTTCTGGTTGCTCGGTCGCTGGGAAGCTCGAGCGGGGACGTGGAAGTACTACCACCATCTTACCTCTTACACTTCCCTCCTCCTGTTCTCTCTCTGGCAGCCGTTGCAGTTCGTGTCTTGACCCTATGCAATTTGAGATTGACAATGACTTTCTGTCTTGAAAACATCTGCAGCTTATACAAATTTTTTTTGGAAAAATTTCAAATAAAGATTCGAAGTGTTCTCACTTTTTCAAATAAGGACTTCAAATAAATTTTGTGTCAAACAAGGGCTTGAAGTGAATTTATGTTATCAAATAAGAACATGAAATGGCTATAATAGTTTCAAATAGAGACCTCACCCCATCGGCTGGCCAAATTTTCCGACCGACTAAAGGTATTTTCGTTCAAAAATAATTTTAACATAAATTTTAGTTAAATTATATTTAAAATTAAAAAAAGTAAAACAGGGGCAGGGCTGGCAGCCAGTCCTGCCCGCCTGTGGCCGTCGCCCCATCGCCGATGGGGCGGCGATGATGGCCACAGGCGGGGGTGGCCTCCCCCTTTTTTTATTTTATTTTTTTAAAACTTTAGCTTTTTTTTTCATTGTTTAGTTTTTTTTTATGGAAAAAAACTTGAAAGGAAAAAAATCAAAAAAATTAAAAGACGAAAATGACCTTGACTCCGGTGAGGTAAGGCCCTTTTTTGAGATTGAGATGGCCACTTTAGACCTTTATTTGAAATAAGGTTCACTTCAGACCCTTATTTGAGAAAATGAGGGCATTTCGAGTCCTTATTTGATACATGTTTACTTCAGGCCTCTATTTGAGAAAATGAGAGCACTTTGGGTTATTATTTGAAATTTTCCTTTTTTTTTTTGGTTAGATGCAGCTAATACATTTCGCGTACTCGATTTAGATTAGAAGTAATTGGTTCCCGGTCCAGTCCGATTTCAAGGTAGAATCCGGAATCGGACCGGGAGGATCGGTTCCCAAATGTAGGAACCGAGGATTGGACAGGTTGGTCCTAGAACAGAGAACTGGACGAGACCAGTGGTCCGATTTGGTCCAATGAACCGGTCGCTTTTTTTTCCCACTACTTGATGTCATATTTTCATACCGAATTAAGTGATGTGTATGCAATGATTCTCAAATTGGAAAACCGAATCATAAAACGTGCTTCACTTGGGGCTTAGTTCACATTTTACTAATTTTTTTGAAAAAATAAAAAATATATATGAAGTTGGTCTGGTTACCTTTGGAATCGGAAACTGGATCGCCTGGACACCGATTTCACTTTTAGGAATCGGGAATTGGATCGACACTCCCAGGAATCGGACCAAACCGGCCGGTCCGGTCCGGACAGTTCCCGGTTTGAGCAGTCCGTTTTGCACACCCCTAAATTAGACATAGAAAATATTCTTTGGTTTCTTCTCGCCTGGTCATCATCCTACGTGGCATGAATTTCTTTTTCTTTTACTCGATTATCAGTTTGACATGTGTTCTGACGTGGAATCAGCTGAAACGAATTAAAAATCTTGACTTTTTCTTTCTGGCTGCTCATATCAATTACAGCTACTGCCCGTACACAAGCCCTCCACTCCGCCGTGGTTGCCACGGCAGCAATGAGTTCCCTCCTTCTGTCGGAGCCTAATCACAGCTAGTATCTCGACCTAACCTGCCATTTCTCTCTTAGTCCTCCATCCACAATCACCTGACCTCGCACCCCTCTCCGTTGCCACCGCGGAGTCGTCAGCGCCATAGGCCAGGCCAAGCACTTCCTCTGTCGTCTTTGTGACCCGGCCATTAGCAGCTCAACTACTGATTATTTTCTCCTTTTAGGTTAGGCAACAATCTTTTTACGAAAATCCTGGTATTGTGCTTTGTCACACCCCGAAATCTATCAAGATGGGGGATGACACGGCTGTCCTTCCACCAGAAGGACGCAACCTCAAACCACCCAAAAGTCCTCACGACATCACTTTCGCTCTTTTAGCTACCAACCAAAGAACCCGAAAGATTGGGAAAAAAGAGGGGTGAGTAACCACAGCTCAGTAAGTAGTGTGTATCTCTTCTAAGTAGATCGATCAACCACTATGCATACAGTTTTAAAACCAAACCAAAGCTTATTTAACCCAACTCCAGCATTTAATAAACGTCAAGGTCAAAATACGTTATATACTACTTTAACATAACATTTTCACAATAATAATGCTCATTTTAAATCAATAATATCAAAGCAGAAACCAATAGTCCATTCCATTAGCCAATCTCGTCAAAAAAACACACGCCAATGGTCCATTCCATTGGCCAATCTCATCGAAAAACACATGCCAATGGTCCATTCCATTGGCCAATCTCATGCTCAAAAATCTAATTATAATCACGGATAACGCCCGTGAAAAGGCGACCAAGATTTCCCCATTGGCAACGTCTCCACCTACTATAAGTCGATGGCTCGGCCCACAATGATATCTTAGACTAGTATGCGTATACCCACAAACTCTCACTGGGTTCATAGAAATATTGAGCATCAAACACTTATCCTCAACAATATCCTCCACAATGCCAAATCTAGAAATCATTTCATAACCATTTCATAAATCACAATATGGTTCCAAAATCATTTCATAATCCATTTCATAAATCACAATTTGTTTCCCAAACTAATCACATAACCTTTCATAACTCAGTTCATTCGATAGAAATACTTTTTCATAAAGCGTTTCTCATATCATTTCATAAACATAATTCACAAATCGATATGTGTAACATTTAATAACATCTTCCATAAAACGTTTCTCAAATCATCTTAAAACTCATTCCATGAATCAATTCGCAACAAAATACACATATATCCGTTAACAATATTTTTCTTAAAACCATTCTCAAATCTTTCTCAAATATCAAAAGGTAGTAATTGCCCAATCCAGGATTTTATGCAACAAACATGCTTTACTAACTCGTATGATTACTCAAATTCTTATCACATTCAAAACATGAGTTTATAAACTAAAAAAAAAGATAGCACCACTCATCTGAGAATGCCTACGATCAAACGACAAAGATTACTCGATCCGTCGAACTCACAATCCTAACAAATAAGTGAGAAACAACAACAAAATCGAGTAAAATGATACCTCAAGTACGACTTGGCTAAACTAGGCTTAGATGCTAATGACTAAGGCTGCGCATGACTACGATTCTGTGCCCGGGAACAGATTCTGCTCAGAAATGATTCTTTTTGATTTTGTGCCCGGAATTGATTCTGAGCATTTTAAGGCGTTTGTTAACGGCCTAAAATTCCATCACTAGAATAGAAAAAGAACAGAAATGTGTTTGGTAACGCCACAAAATTTCTTTTTATTAATAATATTTTTAAATATTTTAATATTTCTTACTTTTTTTCTTTTCTTTTTTTCTTTTCCTCCTTCTTGGCCATGGCCTGCTCGCCGGCCATGACCGGTAAAATATATTTTTATTAAAAGTATTTTTTCTTTTTTTAGGCCATGGCCTGGTCGCCGGTCATGACCGGTAAAATATTTTTTTATTAATAATATTTTTTATTAAAAATATATATTTTTATTTTTTTTTGCCATGGCCGGTAAAATATTTTTTTTATTAATAATATTTTTAAAAAATATATACATTTTTATTTTTTTGGGACATGGCCTGGTCGCCGGCCATGGCCGGTAAAATATTTTTTTTATTAAAATATTTTTATTAAAAATATATATTTTTATTTTTTTTTGCCATGGCCTGGTCGCCGGCCATGGCTGGTAAAATATTTTTTTATTAAAATATTTTTATTAAAAATATATATATATTTTTTGGTCATGGCCTGATCGCCGGCCATGGCCTGTAAAATATTTTTTTTATTAATAATATTTTTTATTAAAATATTTTTATTAAAAATATACATTTTTATTTTTTTGGCCATGGCCTGGTCGCTGGCCATTGCCGGTAAAATATTTTTTTATTAATAATATTTTTTATTAAAATATTTTAAAAATATATATATTTTTTCTTTTTTTTGGCCATGGCCTGGTCGCCGGCCATAGCCAGTAAAATATTTTTTATTTTAATAATATTTTTTTATTAATAATATTTTTTATTAAAATATTTTATTCTCTTCAAATCCGGCGAGGGCGGTCCTCGGGCCGGACATTAGAAACTACATTAAAAACCAAGAAAAGGAAGAAGAAAAAAAAATTGATTCTCAAAATTGTTCCTAATCAAGAAGCTACTTTTTTATTTCTGAAAATCGATTCAGGAACAATTTTTGACAAAATTGTGCCTTAATCAAAAAATTAAACAAACGCATTTCTGTTCCCAAACTGATTATGGGAACAAAAGAACAGAATCAAACACTGTTTGGCAAGTTGTCATGCGCAACCTAAAAGGCACCCACAAATCGCTCACCCAAAGCGATTATTCAAAGCCATTCACAACACGGAGCTTGAACGTGAAACTTGGTTGCGTTTTAACTATCTCTACCAAACTCCGTTCCAAGCGAGCTTATAGTAAAAAGAAAGCTCATTCATAGCACTACAAGAACCCCAGCTTGGCTACCCAAAAGCGGGCCAAAGGCAACGAAAATCGGTGTGGAAAGCTGCTGTCGCGCACTGTTCACCATGCGCGCTTAACTTCAAAAATTCGTTTCGGACAAACGGTAAGTCCAAATCGAGTTCCACAAAATCCCACGGCTCCACGACACCCAAACTACCAATTATATATATATATACGCAGCTCAACGACTCAAAAATCGGACTACGCGACTTGAATTTCAACCAATTCCGAAATTTGAGCCCTAACCCTAAAAATACTCCGATTGAATAAACGAGAGGCTCAAGTACTTACCGGGCGTTGCGTTATGAAGTCGAATTGACTTGGCGAGACCCGTGGCGCAAAACCCTCTCTCTCTTCTTTCTTCTTCTTCTTATTTCCCCTTTTCCCTTTCTTTCTCTGTTTCTTGTCGAGGGAGCTCTCGGTCTTCCTTTTAACCGAGCTCCCAATTACTGCTTTGTTGACTAAGTCAACACTTTTTTTTGTTTTGGCTTTTCTCTTGACTGGTTCAAAACCCATATATTACATGCTTGACGTGAATGGCTTGCTTTGGATGAGATAAAAATTGCCTCACCATCATATCATAGACGATGGTATATTTTCAACCACACCGGATAGTTATCAAGCCACCCAAATACGTGATTCTTGGGTTTGTCATGAGGAATTCATGACAGTGGGAGGCAAACTTGCAACCTTTCGCTTTCTCGGACGAAAGGTACAAATGCTTTTTGCGCCCACCCTAAAAATTCATACGAACGAAATGCTTCTAGAGTCGTCTAACAAGTACGAACAAACAAGCGGTTCAGCGTAAGCGCACATATTTCTCGAACATTGGGTGCTTGATGATTGTCCTGAGTGTCCTCATAGAATGCACTTAATCAAAATGGATTGTGATGTTTTGGGTGTGAGAATTCAAGGAAAATCTTACCATGATAGGGTTGCTCCTTCGTGGCGTGTGTTATCATGTGGCCGAGCAGAAAAAAGATTAGAGAAAGCAACTGACCTTGTTCTTACACGATAGAGGTGTACATTGCCAAAGGTCCCGACTTATTTTCTGCAGAGATAAAGAATGTTAGAGGAAGTAGTTTGACATCAACAATGAAGCATCAAACTTTCGTTCCTGTGGCCCAAAGAGAAATGGCTCATCAAGTTGAAGGAAGGTGCTGCCCTTGATCATTGGGCTCTAGTTCGAGACATGTGTAATTTGGTGATACAAGCCGAGTCAGGAGAAAATATTGGGTGCCACTAGGGATTCCACCATGGAGAAATAACAAGTCTGAAGTGGCGACACGTGTCCGCGGGGACCCACATGTCAGGAAGGCTTCACGATGGAATAACTCCCACAGCACAAAGCTAAGCCGAGCCGAGCCGAGAGCAGCTAAGAGAAATTTTTTAAAAAACAGCCCTCTCTCCATACTCTCTCTCTCTCTCTTTCGCGCTCCCATCGAATTCCAGATCTGGAATTCGCTCTGTGCTCCGTCTCCCTCGCGCCGACGAGCGAGGTTCGTCTCCTTGCCCTGACGCCCTAGCCGCCTCCGACGAGCGACGCCCTAGCCTCCGCCTCCGCCCTAGCCCCCGACGCCCATGTCGAAGACGCCTCCGACGAAGCCCGACGCTGACGCCGACGACGCCTATGACGAGCGAGGTCCGCCGTTGCCCACGAGCCGTCGCCTCCCACGAGGAGGTCCGCTGCTTCCGACGAGCGAGGTCCGTCTCCTCGCGCCAACGCCGACCCCTAGCCTTCGACGAGCGAGGTCTGTCTCCTCGCGATTCGCCCGCCGGTCCCGACCTCCGCCGTCGCCTCCGCCCGCCCGCCCCGTGGCCTCCGCCCGCCCAAGAGCAACTCGCCCGCCGGTCCCGACCTCCGCCGTCGCCTCCTCCCGCCCAAGAGCAGCTGGGTCCCGAGCTCTGACCGCCGTCGCCTCCGCCGCCAAACCCAGCTCGGTGCTCCTCCCCAACGGCCGTGGATGGGGGAGCGGTGGTGGTCTCTTCTCCGTCGATTTCGTCGGCCTCTGCTGTAAGTACAAGCGGGCCAGGCGTTGGCTCGGCGTCTCCCGCTCCAGGGCCCTCCCGCGCCTCCTCTCCACCGGCAAGCCCACGCCGCCTTCCTCGGTGAAGGCCGTGCTCCATCTCGAGCGGGCCGGCTATTCGTCGTCCCCCCGCGGCGAGCCGCCTCGTCAGTCCGGGGACAAGCTTCAGGTGACGTCCGTGTCTCTCGGCTTCCCTTCGAGCGTCTTGTTTGTCGCGTGGAGTCTTGTTTTTTTTTTCCTTCGTATTCGTGCTTTTGTTGCGGAAGTGGTGCTTAGAGGGGTAAGAGTGATTGGGAGCTTGTGAAGGTGGTAAAGGACGTCGCCTTGGAAATGGAAGTGTGAGCGGATACACTAGGAGAGTTTGTTTCCAGTGTTCCTATTTTATCGGAGATGGATGCTCAGTAAGCTTCAGAGCTAGAGCAGTTTCAGAATAGTTGGTAGTGAAGGTTTGGAAGAGGATCTGGGCTGACTGTGGTCTTCATTTCTTTCTCTCTCTTTTTTTTGTTTTAGCACCGAACGGTTTGGGTCAGTGGCAATAATTTTGGATCTTGAAAATCTCGTTTGGAATCTTGGATTGTGGAGTTTCTGCAGACCTACTTCGGATGCTTATGAGCCTTCTCTGGGTTGCTGCTTAAATTGCAGTGTTCAGTTGATGTAGAGAATAACCAGTGTTCGTCATGGGTTACAAACGAGTGCACTGTCCCCTGGTCCCTTTAGATGAACAAATGGGATGAAATAGCTCGCGTGCCTTGATATGCTTTCACTTCTTTTTCTTGAAGCAGTTAACGAGGAACCATTAAGGAGTTAGAATTGTGACGTTGCTCCTGGTTTTATATGTTCTTCTAAAATGCACTACACGTTACTGATCACCTGTGGTTTAGTGATCATTCTAAGTCAGGAAGTTAATGTTCATTTTGAGTATGGAAGAGTGCATATACCCGTGAATGATCATCAGTGATGCCAAAAATTTCTAGAAGAAGGCACCTTTATTTCTTGCTTCAAGTGTGAGCATGGCTATTTTCTGTTAGACTTAGTATTTTTGCTTCCAAGTGTGAGCATTGATTGCACAATTTCATGTAATTACCATGGAAGTTAGCGTTTGATGTGGTGGATTTGCCTTTTCCCTCCACAGTTATTGTAAATATCTTCAGACAAGAAGGTCTTGAGGTGCTTGGATGGAGGCCTGTCCCTGTAGACTCATCCGTAGTTGGTTTCTATGCAAAAGAAACCATGCCTGACATACAGCATGTTTTTGTGAGAGTTGTAAAAGAAGACAGTGTTGATGACATTGAATGAGAACCGTACATTTGCCGGAAATTGATTGAAAAGGCCGCAAGTACGGAAAACTGGGGAAATTAGCTCTATGTTTGTTCTCTCTCGAATCAAACGCTAGTTTACAAGGGAATGCTTCGGTCAGAAGTTCTTGGTTTATTTTACTTGGATCTTAAGAATGATCTATATGCATCATCTTTCGCTATATACCACAAAAGGTATAGTACAAACACTAGGCCCAGGTGGCCTCTTGCTCAGCCAATGAGGTTTCTTGGTCATAATGGAGAAATCAACACCATACAGGTTATCTACTGCTTCCATTTTGTACTATGTTGTTTTCATGTTGCGGACTTCATAAATGTCTCTAAGCTAGTCCAAACGTGTGTGTAGGGCAACTTGAATCGGATGCAATCTTGTGAAAACTCATTAAAGTCCCCTGTTTGGCATGGTCGTGAGAATGAAATCCGTCCTTTTGGTAATCCCAAAGCGTCAGACTCTGCAAACCTTGATAGTGCAGCAGAAGTACGTGTCATCTTTCTCGTGGTTCATCATAGTTTATTTTTGTTTGTCGAACCTTCACTATCTTCATGCTTATACACTTTCATGAGTCATCATCTTATCTTTCACTTTATTCGCTATGAAACTTGTTGGATAATTAAGAAAGAAATTGAAAATGTGATTTTCTTTTTATATAAAGGAGTGTGCAACTTAGGTCAATCAGTTGCTTTTTGTTAGTGCTTTTTTGGATGCTACTGAGTGCATAACTTTTCTGTTAATATGTAGAATGTTCCAGATATTAAGTCTTTTTGTGTGGTCATCTAATGTGGCATATATAACTACGTGTTCCTCTCTTTATTGCTGCATAATGATGCGGTTGAGTTTAATTTGACAGTGAAACCTAGACACCAACTCTCCTGCAATGATAACGGCAATGTATCCAAAAGCTTATGCTGTTGGGCACACAAACTAGAAATGTATATCTACTACAAATTATGACCCAAAAAAAATATCTAGTGCAATTTGTTTGCTATATGATGTGGTTATCGAAGCATGTTGATATCAAGTGAGCTAGTCTCTGTCTTCTTAAGATATATTTCCAGATAAAATTTATTATTGTACATTTTTTGAAGCTTTGTGCATTTGTGGTTGGTTAGTTTAGAAACCTTTCACATCTTTTCAAATTTTGAGCTTAAGATTAATAAATTAAGTCTTAAATAAAATTTGAAATTAGTATATGCAAGCCTACAAGCCAATACTTAAATAGGGCCAATATTTAAAATTTGTGTTCTATGTCTTTGGTGGTTTTGGTATCTTAACCTCCTTAGTCCTGTCTCTCTTCCATGATTGCGAGATTCGTTTGCTGGACTGATGTTTACCACCTTTGCTGAATTACAAAGCTCAATGGGGAACACGATAGGAGAGTGTTACGATCACTTCTAATGACCGATAAAGCAAGACCCTAAATTATGCATTCTCTGTTGTAAAAGTTCCCCATGTTTTCTGTGCATCTTTATTTCTTTCATACTTTTGCCTGTTTTTATCTATGATTGAAACCAATGGATGATCAATCACTGTTTCAGTCTGTTAGTTTCCTTCATGAATCCTCATTCTCTTTGTTGGTTCAGTTGTTGATAAGAAGTGGCCAAGCTCCTGAGGAGTCTCTAATGATTCTTGTTCCAGAAGTATACAAGAACCATCCTACTTTATCGATCAAATACCCTGAGGTACTTCACTTATAGTTCTTTTCACACCTAGTGCTTATTTGGATGTGCTGTTGGTCAATAAAATTTTCCACCAAGATCATTGTCAAATGTTCTCTTAGGTTTTGCAAAGGAATTTTCCAGTGTCACTAGATTGTTTCTCCATTCCTGAAGATTGATCATCTAAAATGTGCCAATGCTAGAGTACATTTCCAAACAAAATCTATCATAGCCAAATTGATTCTTTCATGATGGGAAATGGCTTTGTAATCATTATATGTCCTACTTTTTCACTTTATGTAATTAGAAACTAATAGGTAAGTAAGCCAGGTTAGCAATGAGGAATTTATTAATTGGAGGTAGGGACGACTAAATCATATAAATGTATTCTTACAAGAACATGCTGAAGAACTTTTTTGAGAATTGTTCCGGCAGTTGCTTACTGGCAATTTGGTCATCAAATCCTACATAATGAGAAGCTTTTAGTGATAAGATAGACTGTTGAATGCATGACCTAAATATTTGTCTCTGTGACCTGCGAATGCATCACAAAAATCAGAGTTTTTGTTGGGAGCTCTGTGATTTTCCTTTGACTTGAAGCACCTATCGTTTGACAAGCTTTACTCCTCACTTTGAGCAGATATCTTATAAAATCAGACCTGTTGCTTGTCTTGTAATGGGCTTTTGCTTATGTTTGGTCTTTGTCTCAAGGTGGTTGACTTTTATGAGTACTACAAGGGTCAGATGGAGGCTTGGGATGGACCAGCATTGCTTTTATTCAGGTCATCCTCAAACACTATTAGAAACCATTATGTATGCTTCTATTGAATTATTGTTAGGAGGAGCCTTGACTTCAAATTAAAAATGCAGGCTTTTCGAAGAGTGGTTTGATGCGGATAATATCGGTTTTTTTGTTTTTCGACGTTGTATAATTATTCTTTTGGTTGGGCTTAATTGTTGGTGGTTCCCCAAATATGTAATACTCACATACTTTTGATAGATTTACCATTTTGATATTGTGAATGAATATGCTGTCGAGATCTTCGATTCATATTAACTTTGTGGAGTAGGTTTGCAAAATACTCTTCGATCTTTATTTTCGGTATAATCCCACAATCGGGTTCTTCAGTTTCATATTGTCGATCTATTCAGTATTCAGACTTGGTGACGTTGGTTGTAGCATGTCTTGATGTAATATTTGGGTATTTTTCTTTTAAAAAAAATGTAAAAAAGTCAAAAGCCACTGCGGTGACTCGGTTAAGTTAAAAGGAGACTGAGAGCTCCTTGCCGAGAACAAAACCAGAAAAGGGAAGAGGAAAAAAGGGAAAGGAGAAGAGAAGGGAAAAGAGGTTTTGCGCCACACGAATCTCGCTTAGCCGATTCGACTTCGTATTTCAACGCTCGGTAAGCACTTGCGCTCCTTGTTCATCCAATCGGAGAAGTTTTCAGATTTAGGGTATAAATTCAGAATTGGTTAATACCACGAAAAATCCTAAACTGGTACACTTGTGACACATTTACCCCAAACTATTTTTTTGATCACAAAAAACCCTAAACTGGTACATCTGTGATAATTTTAGGATTTTTCGCGGTATTAACCCTTCATAATTTTGGAAAATTTTTTGCTGCGAAGTCCGATTTTTGAGTCGTTGAGCTGCGCATTTTTTTAGAATTGGTAGTTTAAGGTGTCGTGGAGCCGTGGGATTTTACGGATCTTGATTTGGACTTACCGTTTACCCGAAACAAATTTTTAAAGTTTTCCGCACGAAGTGAACATGCACGTCCGGCAGCCTTCAGGCCATATTTCGCTGCGAAATCCGATTTGTGAGTCGTTGAGCTAAGCATTTTTGTAGAATTGGTAGTTTAGAGTGTCGTGGAGCCATGGAATTTTACGGATCTTGATTTGGACTTACCGTTTGCCAGAAACGAATTTTTGAAGTTTTCCGCGTGAAGCGAACAATGCACGTCCGGCAGCCTTCAGGCCATATTTCGCTGCGAAATCTGATTTTTTAGTCGTTGAGCTGTGCATTTTTGTAGAATTGGTAGTTTAGGGTGTCGTTGAGCCGTGGGATTTTATGGATATTGATTTGGACATACCGTTTGCCCAAAATGAATTTTTGAAGTTTTCCGCGCGAAGTGAACAGTATACGTCCGGCAGCCTTCAGGCCATATTTCACCGCGAAGTCCGATTTTTGAGTCGTTGAGCTACGTATTTTTGTAGAATTGGTAGTTTAGGGTGTCGTGGAGCCGTGGGATTTTACGGATCTTGATTTGGACTTACCGTTTGCCCGAAACGAATTTTTGAAGTTTTCCGCGAGAAGCTAACAGTGCACGTCCGGCAGCCTTCAAGACATATTTCACCGCGAAGTCCGATTTTTGAGTCGTTGTGCTGCGCATTTTCGTAGAATTGGTAGTTTAGGGTGTCGTGGAGCCGTGGGATTTTACGGATCTTGATTTGGACTTACCATTTGCCCGAAACGAATTTTTGAAGTTTTCCGCATGAGATTTTACAGCAATCAGTAAGCTTAGAGAGAGAGAGAGAGAGAGAGAGAGAGAGAGAGAGAGAGAGATCTATTCAACTTCTCCCAATTTTGCGTTTCAGCATCTTAGGGTGCGCATGGAATGCATTCCGGAATAAAAATTCTGTTCCGGAATGCATTCCGGAACAGAATGGCGTTTGTTAAAAAATTTTCGGAATGCATTCTGGAGCGATTTTTGCATTCTGGAATAAAAATGCGTTTGTTAAAAATACTTGATTCCAGAATGCATTCTTGATTCCAGAATGCATTTTTTATTCCGGAATGAGTTTTTGGCAAGAAAAAGAGAAGCTGCTTTTTGTAGCTTCTTGATTCCGAAATGCATTCTCCCTATTTTCTCACAAATTTTTTTTCATAAAATGCATAAAAATTGAAAAATTCTAGAAAAATTCATAAAAATTTCCAGAAAATAAAAAAAAGTCAGATTTCGGGAAAATATGAAATTTGGTGAATTTTTTTTAAAAAATAAAAAAAAATCAAAAATTTCAAAACTTAACAGAATAGCTTAAAACACATGTGGCCACCCACTTTGAGTGAAATTTAAATTTTTTGAGGTGTCCAAAAAAAATCAAAAATTTCAAAACTTCACAAAATGACTTAAAATACCTGTGGCCACCCACTTTGAGTGAAATTTAAATTTTTTGAGGTGCCCAAAAAAATAAAAAAAAACAAAAAATTTCAAAACTTCACAGAATGGCTTAAAATATCTGTAGTCACCCACTTTGAGTAAAATTTAAATTTTTTGATGTGCCCAAAAAAATAAAAAAATAAAAAAATTCAAAACTTCACAAAATGGCTTAGAATACCTGTGGCCACTCACTTTGAGTGAAATTTAAATTTTTTTAGGTGCCAAAAAAAATTAAAAAAAATCAAAAATTTCAAAACTTTACAGAATGGCTTATAATACATGTGGCCACCCACTTTGAGTAAAATTTAAATTTTTTTAGGTGCAAAAAAAAATCAACAAATCAAAACAGATTTTTGTTCCAGAAATCAATTTCTGGAGCAGAATTAGTCATGTTTTACCAAACAGATTTCTCCTCCAGAAATCAATTTCTGGCAAGAATTCCAGAAATCAATTTCTGGCAAGAATTTGATTTCTAGAGCAGAATGGTTACCATTCGCACCCTTAATGTTGTTTTGAGCAGATCCTGTATTCGAAGAGTAATGTAAACGAAGTGCTTGCAATTATCCTCAACGAGCAGAAGTTTTCTCACGCTCAATAGCCGCGTGGAAAGAGAGTCACTTATATGTCAATGAATTAGAGTAGTATTGACTAAGTAAGGAACTAACCTCGATAAATTTAGAGGTATGCCAGTATAATAACTGAACGAGAGGGAATGCTTAGTTTGAATTCTTGATCCAACTTCTCACTCCTATCGAGTTCTTTGCAAGTGATGAGGTGGTCCGCGATTAACCAAACTTGTGAAACTGCTTTTATCGGCTCAATATTTCGGGTCATCATTTTTTACTGCGTGTCATTTTCCTAGCTCAAAAATTAAAAACTTACACTATTGAACAGGGTTGACATTATAAAAAATGAGAGTGCGGGCTCTTTTTTTGTGAAGGTATTTGTTGAGTTGGTTGAAGGAGAAAAGACTAGCTAAACTGTGTTATTGATTGAATCGCTACTTACAAATTTATAAGCTGTAGAAGCTTTTCTCTAGGAACAGAAAAACAATAAGATCTCAAAATACAAGGAATAAAAAATAAATAAGATATTTATCCCTAATGATAAGAAGAATTTTAAAAACAAATCCTAACTGAAATAGGTAAAAAACTAACTCCTAAAAATTTGCTAAGGATCCGCAACAGTATCCACCAAATTATTGGCTTTTCCGCTAACAATTACATGTTACACTATATACTATTGATACAACGCTATGTACAGTTATAGACCAAATTTCTTTGGTCTGAGGTAAGTAGAAGTACCCTGCCTCAACCCAGGCAATGAGACTCGCTGCTGTTGCTTCGCCCTCTTCTCCCTCTCTTTCACCTCAATCTCTATCTCCGCATCTGCCTGCGATCTCCTCAGGTTCTCCATTTCTTCCTCCATGGCTGTCTTCTCTTCCTCCTGCTTCTTCTTATGCTCCAGCAGAGACAGATGGCCTTCCTAACGACATCTGTGTCGGGCCAACTTGAAGTTAATGGGATTCGCAACATCTTGAGAATATCCAGCAATTGAGATCTCACTTCTCGAGCCTTCCGCAAGCCCTTGACAAGCAAAAAGTGATCATTACACCAATCCCCTCTGTACTGTTTACTTTTCCACTGCTGATAGACATTATGCAGTGTTAAGTGGCCAGATATCGGAACGAAAAATTTCTCCCTTGCAGCATCGCTCTCCTCCACTCTATCTTTTGGCTGGAAAAATACAGACGGCACCGAGAGCATCGAGACAATTGTCAAAACCTCATCTAGGCAACCTAACTGATTGCCCATCAAGAGCATAAAATGTGATTATTACTTGCCAAATAAGTTTCAAAATTTTTGTGCATTCAGAGTACCAGATGTTACAACGAGCTTAAAATCGCGACCTCAAGCTACCACCTTTTTCAATATCCCAAGGAGAACATCAGTGTTCAGTGATCTCTCATGTGCTTCATCCATCACGACAACCCTGAAACAAGTAAAAACAACAAAATGTAAGGCTCTGCTTGAAGAACCTGAGTCTGCGTAGGTTATTCTCCATGCATATACAAGTCCACTCCAACCCAGTTTAACAAGAAGTAATAGATCAGAGTAGAGAAGACATTGTCATACTGGTACTATTCAAGGTCGGAATCTTTCAGTGTTTCACGGAAAAGCACTCCATCTGTCATGTACTGCAACACGTTAGTGACCACCAAAAAAAACAATTATACATGACGGAGCACAAAACCAAAACAAAAAGGCATAGATTATAATTTATCAGGGAGCCAACAAAATTTGAGATATGTCCCAGATTAAAAGCAACAACACTACTTCAGAAAAGTCAGCATTAAAAAAATAGTATCCTAAAGAATTTGCTCTTGACAATCGAAAACAGTCTCACCTTAATTACCGTGTTTGGCCCAGTCACATCCTCAACACGAACGGCATACCCCACTTTTTCACCTAAGTCAGTTTCCATGGGCATTACTACAACAACTTTTATAAAGGAAAAAAAACATAGAGAGAGAGAGAGAGAGAGAGAGAGAGAGAGAGAGAGGACACCGTCATTCAAACTTGCAAAACACATTACATCGGCTTATGATTTCTCAACACCAACAATATCTCCAAGTTTTGAGCCAGCAAGCTCCCAAAAGCGATGGCGCGATTTATTCGTACTCTGTTTTTCATGAATCTCCTTGAGCAGAGCAGAACCTTTTCTTGAGATTATAGCCATATCTGACGTCGGATCTTTGAGCGGCATTATAGGCTCAGCTTGTTCAGCAAAAACTACTCTTCCATCCAAGAAAGGAGGTTTTCTACCTGAGATATAATACAAGAATATCTTAGCCTAAGCCAGAGCAACCAATTATTATGGATCTTGTGATTGAATTGCATTTGACAGTGAGTGCTGCAATAATGAGAGCTTAATGTTACTCATCTTAACTGTTTGCAACACCGTCCAGTCATTTGGTTTCATGGCCACCACTTTTCAGTTTGACAGAGTTAAATAACATTGTAAGCAGATGACTGCACTTGAACTCCAGCAGATGGAAACAACAGATATTTGCAATCAACTTCTGATCAAAGCATTCCCTTGTAAACTAGCGTTTGATTCGAGAGAGAACATACATAGAGCTCATTTCCCCAGTTTTCCGTACTTGCGGCCTTTTCAAACAATTTCCGGCAAATGTACAGTTCTCATTCAATGTCATCAACACTGTCTTCTTTTACAACTCTCACAAAAACATGCTGTATGTCAGGCATGGTTTCTTTTGCATAGAAACCAACTACGGAAGAGTCTACAGGGACAGGCCTCCATCCAAGCACCTCAAGACCTTCTTGTCTGAAGATATTTACAATAACTGTGGAGGGAAAAGGCAAATCCACCACATCAAACACTAACTTCCATGGTAATTATATGAAATTGTGCAATCAATGCTCACACTTGGAAGCAAAAATACTAAGTCTAATAGAAAATAGCCATGCTCACACTTGAAGCAAGAAATAAAGGAGCCTTCATCTAGAAATTTTCGGCATCACTGATGATCATTCACGGGTATATGCACTCTTCCATACTCAAAATGAACATTAACTTCCTGACTTAGAATGATCACTAAGCCACAGGTGATCAGTCCCGTGTAGTGCATTTTAGAAGAACATATGAAACCAGCAGCAACGTCACAATTCTAACTCCTAAATGGTTCCTCATTAACTGCTTCAAGAAAAAGAAGTGAAAGCATATCAAGGCACGCGAGCTATTTCATCCCATTTGTTCATCTAAAGGGACCAGGGGACAGTGCACTCGTTTGTAACCCATGACGAACACTGGTTATTCTCTACATCAATTGAACACTGTAATTTAAGCAGCAACCCAGAGAAGGCTCATAAGCATCCGAAGTAGGTCTGCAGAAACAATCCAAGATTCCAAACGAGATTTTCAAGATCCAAAATTATTGCCACTGACCCAAACCGTTCGGTGCTAAAAAAAAAAAAGAGAGAGAAAGAAATGAAGACCACAGTCAGCCCTGATCCTCTTCCAAACCTTCACTACCAACTATTCTGAAACTGCTCTAGCTCTGAAGCTTACTGAGCATCCATCTCCGATAAAATAGGAACACTGGAAACAAACTCTCCTAGTGTATCCGCTGACACTTCCATTTCCAAGGCGACGTCCTTTACCACCTTCACAAGCTCCCGATCACTCTTACCCCTCCAAGCACCACTTCCGCAACAAAAGCACGAATACGAAGAAAAAAAAAAAACAAGACTCCACGCAACAAACAAGACGCTCGAAGGGAAGCCGAGAGACACGGACGTCACCTGAAGCTTGTCCCCGGACTGACGAGGCGGCTCGCCGCGGGGGGACGACGAATGGCCGGCCCGCTCGAGATGGAGCACGGCCTTCACCGAGGAAGGCGGCGCGGGCTTGCCGGCTAAGAGGAGGCGCGGGAGGCCCCTGGAGCGGGAGACGCCGAGCCGACGCTTGGCCCGCTTGTACTTACAGCAGAGGCCGACGAAATCGACGGAGAAGAGACCACCACCGCTCCCCCATCCAAGGCCGTTGGGGAGGAGCACCGAGCTGGGTTTGGCGGCGGAGGCGACGGCGGTCAGAGCTCGAGACCCAGCTGCTCTTGGGCGGAAGGAGGCGACGGCGGAGGTCGGGACCGGCGGGCGGGTTGCTCTTGGGCCGGCGGAGGCCACGGGGTGGGCGGGCGGAGGCGACGGCGGAGGTCGGGACCGGCGGGCGAGGGGGCAGGCAAATCGCGAGGAGACAGACCTCGCTCGTCGAAGGCTAGGGGTCGGCGTTGGCGCGAGGAGACGGACCTCGCTCGTCGGAGGCAGCGGACCTCCCTCGTGGGAGGCGACGGCTCGTGGGCAACGGCGGACCTCGCTCGTCGTAGGCGTCGTCGGCGTTCTGCGTCGGGCTTCGTCGGAGGCGTCTTCGGCATGGGCGTCGGGGGCTAGGGCGGAGGCGGAGGCTAGGGCGTCGCTCGTTGGAGGCGGCTAGGGCGTCGGGGCAAGGAGACGGACCTTGCTCGTCGGCGCGAGGGAGACGGAGCACAAAGCTAAATCCAGATCTGGAATTCGATGGGAGCGCGAAAGAGAGAGAGAGAGAGAGAGAGAGAGTATGGACAGAGAGGGCTGTTTTTTAAAAAATTTCTCTCAGCTGCTCTCGGCTCGGCTCGGCTTAGCTCTGTGCTGTGGGAGTTATTCCACCGTGAAGCCTTCCTGACATGTGGGTCCCCGCAGACACGTGTCGCCACTTCAGACTTGTTATTTCTCCACGGTGGAATCCCTAGTGGCACCCAATATTTTCTTGCTGAGTTAGAGCCTAGTTCGAACATCCGTGGACAGCCTGGTCAAGTCAACTTCGAGAAAGCATCAAATCAATTCTCGAGCGTTTTGATAAACATGTCAAAATGGGTCATAAACTCATTTATTAACCCATATATAATAAGCTGAGTTGTTAGATAGGTTAGTTATATTCAGTCAATTGATCATAAATGAGTTTAAACATAATATAGTATTAAGTGGGTCATAAATGGGTTTACAATTTACTTGGACCTAACCCACTCTCATGACTCTCTCTTCATTTTCTTTCACTCTCATTCGATCTCGTGCTCGTTCGCTTCATATTCTCACTTCAGTTTGGGTATGAGCTTTCCTACATTTGGTTAAATATGCAAATATTTCGACAATATGTGTCGGGTCGGATATCAATCAATAGATTTATAAACGGATTAATGGGTCATTTTGGATCAGATCATTTATAACTCCATCCAAGCCAAGCCCAATCTGACCCGAGCGTCGGTAAGTCCAAACATATGCATCCAATCCACGACAATCCACATCACAAGTGACCCACAGGTACACCCCATCCACGACCCCACCTGACCACTCTCGCTTGGCCCTTTTCTTTCACCCACCAACCCCAACCCAAAACCCCCCAACCCCACCCCCCCAGCGGTGTCCCACTGAAAAAAGCAGAAAAGACTCCTCTTCGCAACAACCAGTACTTTTCAAAACATCAACAAGCCAAACATAAACAACATGCATGGCCAGCATAAAAGAATATCCCACTGAAAACAAAAGCCTTCCTCTTTATATTGGCACCCACCTTTCCCTCCTGTCCATCACCATCTCTCTCTCTCTCTCTCTCTCTCAACCTTCTTTGGTGTAGCAGAAGAAGCCATGTCTGATGAGGCATCTGCAACACCAACTCCTTCGCTCTGGTCCACCATGAACAGCTGGTTCACCCCTCCTGTTCTCTTCCTGCTGCTAAACCTCGTGATTGGCACCATTGCCATCACTTCACAGCTTGGTTCTTCTCACGGAAGTACTCATGAACACCAAAAAGATCATCAAGAACACGATACCCAAAAACACCCACCAGCCCCACCCTTTGCTAGACCTCCCTCCATTTTCCAGAGGCTCAAGTCCATCATCTTCTTCTGGAGCAAACCCCAAGAACAGCCCACCTGGCCCACTCCTATGAAAGGCCCTGAAATGGAGACCCAGCACCACCAATTCTTTCGAGAACCAGAGCATGAACAGAGACAAGAACAAGAACCAGAACAAGAGCAAGAGCAAGACAATCCATCTCGCTTTGCTAGATCTCCTTCCATGCCCCGAAAGCCCAAGCCCTCTGGCCTCTACAGCCACATAGTGATAGAACCGACTGGACCACCCACTCCAATCCCAACTGGGAATGCTAATTACCCAAATTCAGAGCCAGTCACTCACAACAGTTTTCGGCAAGAACAAGCACAGGCACAAGAACAGGAGGAACAAGAAGATGATGGTGCCGATGAAGCTGAGAGTGGAGTGGCAATGAATAGGCTGCCCAGAAACATGAGGAGATCTGCAAGTGTAAAGTACCCGTTTGTGCATATCGATGAAGAAGATGAAGAAGAAGATGGAGATTTCCTCGAGAGACGCCGTCCGGCGAGCGCGAGAGAAGCAAAGGGTAAAGTCAGTGGCCATATGGATGAGGAGGTTGATGCCAGGGCCGATGACTTCATCAACAGGTTTAAGCAGCAACTGAAGCTCCAGAGGATGGACTCCGTTGCCAGTCAAAACGGAGGAGATCACAGTTAGCAGATTACTAGAGTGGCCTGACTTTGATCAGTATGGTGTGTTTAAGGCCTTTTAAGATGTACATCTTTTTGTACTCCTTTTGAACTCTTTCGTATATGATCCTTCTTAGCCAGTGTTCTTCTGAGATGGCGTACGTTATATCGTGTAATAATACAAAGTTGAATCAAGAAGAAAAGCAGGAGAAAGATTATTGTTTGCAGAAACCCTAATCATTGCATAACATGTTAGATGATTCTCGGATTGCATAATTCCTCATCATGAATAATGGGAAAATCTCTAAGTTGGTGCATGCGTTGACTGTATTTAAAAATCTTGATTAGTTATAATAATCTTGTGCTTTGGTCCCACAATTATATATGTATAATGATTTTTTTAAGCATATAACTCTAGGGTTCAGACCCAGCTAATAAGCAAGTTGCACTATTCTATATATATATCAAGGATAAGATCCTACTCATGCACATCAAAAGACATGAATCTTGATGCGATTTGATCACGTAAGAAGTTATTAAATCCATTATAATTAACTCGATGATTTCGTACTAGACCTAACCAATATTTTTTATTCGGCATTTAAACAGCTTTAATTAGATGCAGTAAATGGTGGCTCGATTGGATATCGCCTTTCATCCGATTCAGATTGATATCAGCATGATGGAGAGGATTTCAGCTGCAAAATTAAAGAACCCTGGCCAAAAACACAGAAACCAAAAAAAAAAATTAATATAAAAGAAAGCTTCAGCGGGGTGTGCCCTAAATCCACGTTAGCAAGGGACGTGGAGTCAATGTACACTTGGAATTGCCACGTCAAACCTCTAACGGCGATATTGGACTGAAAGTTAATTTGGGTAATTATGATATAGAGCGAAAGTAAATGATTTTTTATGTGATAGAGAAAAGTTTGTGTCAGAATTGGAATTGCTTTTTATAGAGAATCAGCTCTACAATGAGAGCGCTACTTCCATACTTCCAGGTTTGATGGAACATAGTCTTTTGCCAGTTATTAAATTGGCAAATTCGGCGTCATCACTCTCCGCGACTTAAATTGAATAATTAATTAAGCAAGTCCACATCGGAGAAATTTCTGCACAATTTCGCTCAGAAAGATCTAAATTTTTAGCAACTGGAAATATAATTTAATTCATCTACTCTCCAGATCGTGCGTCAGCATTTTGACTAAGCTTGTTATGATATATTCATGGACTCGTTGACTCAACATAACCTAATCTCCTCTCATTAAGCTTAGCATCAGACATGCTTAAGGAGGGCCTAGGCCTAAACCTCGTCTTGGGCCTGGCTGGTGTGGCCCGTATGAAGAAGTTGAATGGGCTTGGAAATGTTGGCTCTGCGTTACAGCCCAGTTCGGCCTTTTCAGGCTTGAGTTAATTAATTAATTTTTTATTATTTACTAACCTTCTGCTTAATGCGAGCTTAATTAGACAACATCCCTCAAGCTCGCTGCCAAACTTAACTCAAAGGGTTTTTCATGGTCTCGGAGTTTATTTAATTGACTGATGAATCTAAATCTCCAAGATAGTATCGGGTCGGAGCGCTTACAAAAGTCCTTAACGTGGCCATTCTTACTATAATTCTCAGTCATCCATATCGAAGTGTCTTATATTATTTCAACGTCAAGTAGTGCCCTTCTTATGGATCACATGTATAAGAAAATGTTTAATGTGTGACATAGGGAAAATTAGTCAATCAGCTTTGAACCTATTGTTCGAATGCCAATTCAATCCTAAACTTTTCAAATTTTGCCAATTTAGTCCTAAACCGTTGCATGAAATACAAATGTAATCCTTCCGGCTAATTTTCATCTAAGATTACCAATGCGGCCAAGTGCGACGAAAGACTGCCGGTGATGACTGGACCGCCACATTCATGACTTATGCGAAAATTGGCTAAAAGGATTACGTTGAAATTTCCCACTAAGGTTTAGAACTGAACTGACATATTTAAAATAGATTTAGGACTGATTGGATAATTTTCCATGTGACATGACCAAAATGCAGCTACATTCATACTATGCAACTAGTGTTGTCTTAAATTCAGGTTAATGTTTAGTTGTTTTAGCAGTTAGATGTTCACATCATATCCAGCCTCTTGCATTTTTCCACTTTGCATTTATTACAAATCAATGCGCCCATCGTCAATCTTCGTACCGAGAGTGAGTTGTTCATGCCCTTATGCTGTCACATTCCCCACCCAGATAGACCGACCAACCAGCATTGCATTTATCAAAAAGTGATTAATGTTGTTGGCGTTTAAATCTTAATTAAGACTCTCAATTTTGCTAGTAAACATTGCGTTTGGTTAACGTATGTGCACAAAAGTCAAGGAAGAGCATTACAGAAATGATAGGATTGAACAACTAGAGTCATTTGACAACCTCAAAAAGGAACCTCATCTAGTCATCAAAGCAAGTGTAGTGATAACTTGTAATTTTTTAACTCAGCACAGATGAAATCTGGTCATGTCACTTAAAGGGTATTTTCCTAATTATGAATTTCTTTAGGAGGACTAATTAATAAAATTTTAGCTACCTTGTGTGTTGTCATATTTGGGCCACTTTAACTCAAAGCTTCTCATAATCTTAATTCGGATTCTATCCTAAACCCTAATTCATCTTATCAATAATATAAGAATTACGCGCTTTTCATATGTAATCATCTTGAGCTCGGTCATTGTCCGGAAATCTTCATCGAGAGGGCTAACAACCATCTGGCAAATTTTGAAGGGAACGTCTCTTTATTTGTCCTAATTAAGCAAATCCCACGAGATTAGTGTCATCAATAGTGTTAATTACTATTATTACTACTCAAAGGACATTGATTAACACCGTGGTTTCTAGAGAAGCTTCCCCATCCTCCAAAGCAACTTTACTCAAGTGGGATTTGATCATTTGACTTTTGGTTGTGAAGTTAATGCAAGCAATGACTTAGAGATCAGTCGTGCTAATCATGGTTTATCCCACTTAAGTGCCACGTGGCGAAAACCCAAGAGACTGTCGGTGGGGGTCGTTCCTTCGCCTTTACGTGCAGCTGTCGGATTACGCGTAGGAAGTTTCTTTTCGAGAGAGGAGGATACTTTCTTACCAGGTGTATTTACCATAAAGACCGTTTTGTCCTTTAGCTCGTCTAGGGTTTGACCTCTTGTCAACAAAGTGACAATATTTGATAGAAAGAAATAAACGAAAAATAAAATTTACCTCATCTTTTAATTTCTTTTAGTGAAGAGGATAGACCTTCTTTTAAGTTTAGTGCACTAAAATACCCTAAATGTTGGACAAATATTAGATAATATGAAAAATAAGAATTACTGGAGAAAACTATTGGAAAAGGTGAAAGTAAGAACAAATCATCCGAGGCATACAAGCACTATCCTTAAGGATAATTCGGCCTATCGGAGTACGAAACTCAGTGCAATAACGGCTATACTCCCAGGATACAATAGATCTTTCTCTTTACTCCACACTGAATAAATAAAGGGAACATGAACAACAACGTCATATGTAAAACCCAGCTAAGATGGAAAGATAAGAGAGATTTTCTTATTTTTGGAATGTTTTTATTGTGATGGGAAAATTCACATTATAGACAAATAAGTGATAGTTAATAAAGAAATAAATCAAATCGATATTACAGCCGTTACAAATTGATTATTGTTATGATTTCCATCAGATACCTTTATAAAACAATTGCTTTAAATTATTTAAAAGCACTGAAATATCCAACAATAAATGACTCGATCAAATATCAAAAGTGTAATATCATATGGTGTGAGGAAAATGATTGGATGAAGAATAAGAAGTCTGATATAGTTTAGCGAAATAAGCTATCATGTTGAAAGTAATTCAAAATTCAGATATCTAGAATATGTTAGATTTAAAAATGGAAGAAATTTTGCACTACAATAATTGTGTAAGCAATTTCGTTTATCGACAATGATTTTAAATATATATATATATATATATATATATATATATGCAAATTCTTAATTTTATTGTTTGACATCATAAAGTTTATCACTGCAAAATTAGTCTAACAAGTAAAGTATCAATTTACTATCGTCGATTTTTTAGTCAAATTATTTGTTTTTATCGGAAAAAGTCCCCTCCCCCCTTTTAAAGGTATATTTCTTGTATAAAGCAACAGAGGTGGCAATTTTCAACACAACACATGAACACGACTCGAAATCCAACACGAATTTATCGAGAAACTCGAATCCGATATGACGACACTTAACTTCAGCTCAAAATTTACATGTTTTTGCTCATTTCTTTAATTAAAAAAAAACTTTTCATAGTTACCTCGGCAACACCAAATAACACGAATGGTCGAGACGAACATTACATCCAACTCCAAATTGGTGGCCGTATCCAAAATATACGACCCTAGGATTACCCATTCTTGTTGCTCATTATAAAGAAAGAAAGAAAGAAAGCATATGGTTCTTGTTAAAAAAAGATTTAAGAAGAGATGATAATGAAGAGAGATTCCACACTTGCCATGGCCTAAGAAGCATCTCTTCCTTCCTTTCTCACTTCTCACTTCACTCTCTCTCTCCCTCTCCCTCTCCCTCTCTCCCAACCGCCGCCCAATATGGCGGACAGAGTCTACCCATCAGCCAAACCCGCCGCCGCCGCCGCCAATGCCAACGGCACTCCCACGACCGCCGGCCCCGCCGCCAACAAGCCCCAGCTCTACCGCCCCTACCGCCCGCAGCCCCCCAAACGCCGCCGCCGCCGCCGCTGCGGCCTCTGCTGCTGCTGCTTCTGGACGATCCTGCTTCTCCTCTTCGTCGCCCTCCTCGCCGCCATAGCCGGCGCCGCCCTCTACGTCCTCTACCACCCCCACCGCCCCGCCTTTTCCCTCTCCTCCTTCCGCACCGTCGCCCTCAACCTCACCACCGCCCCCGACGGCTCCGCCTCCCGCCTCACCACCCTCTTCAACCTCACCCTCATCTCCAAGAACCCCAACTCCCACATCTTCACCTTCTTCTACGACCCACTCCTCGTCTCCCTCTCCTCGGCCTCCGGCTCCGTCTTCCTGGGCAACGGCTCGATCCCCGCGTTCGCGAGCTACCCCAAGAACCAGACGACCCTAAGGACGGTGGCGTCGGCGACCACGGAGGACGTCGACGCGGAATCCGTCGCCTCTCTGAGGTCGGATCTGAGGAGGAAAGCCGGGCTGGCTCTGGAAGTTCGGATGGAGACGAAGGTGAGGGTGAAGGCCGGCGGCCGGAGGAGCAAGAAGGTCGGGATCAGAGTCGTCTGCGGCGGGATCAAGGGAGTGTCGGCGCCGAGGGACAAGAATGCGACCGTCGTCGCCAACGTTGCTGACTCCGAGTGCAAGGTCGATCTCCTGATCAAGATCTGGAGGTTCACGTTCTGATCTGGACAGTTTTTGTTTTTTTTTATAGAATTTCTGAGGATCATTAACGGATCAATCATGGGATTGATGAAAAGAAAAGGAAGAAAAAAAGATTAGTGGATCAAGAAAAGAAAAGGGTAAATTTTATCTTCCTTGCTTTTTCCGAATTTTTAATTTAATTATGTCGGTGTAATAGGGTATAGTTTTTCTTGCAAGTGCCGTGTGAAAGGGGATAACAATATTTGTTTATTTGCTTTTGTGGAAATTGGAAATTGCTTTAGAAGCCGTTGTTTTAACCCTTGACCTACAAAAAAGGGTTCAAAAAAATATTAAAAAAAAATAATCCGTTTGTATCGAATGTACATGTAGCCGGTTGTCGTGCCGTGGTCGCAATGAGATGTGCTATGACATTATTGTCGGTTGTTACGGTTGTGAAGTGTTTCTCGAACAATTCTCCAAGGATTGTAATTATTATTTGATCAATAATATCGTGCTTTTGAGAATTCATGGTTGTCCAAGAAAAAGAGAAGAGAAAAAAGTGCTCATTTGAAGTGGCTAGGGTTTTGTCTATGCCGATAATGTCTTTGCTTTCAACTCCATTTGTGTGTGCATACGAATGGTTATCCTTATCGAATGAGCTGTTCTTTCCCACTACAATTAGTAGTGCATAGCCCATTGCACCATCTTAGTTTTTGGCCCTTTTAGATGTCTCGTTCTGGTTGGGGTTTTCTTGGCATCATTCATAGTGCAAATTGATCGTGCCATGGAGATCGCGGGCGCCGTCTTTCACTAAGTCGCGTGTCCGAGCGATGTTGCGAGCAAACTTATTACCGATTCCTGGCTCATCGCCTGGGCTAAGGAAGGCCGGAGCAGTCACGACTCGAATTGAGCGTTCGATGGCGGATGTAGGAATTTTATGGTAACGCGAGGAAGAAATAGCTAAGCGGCTCTTTTTTTTTTAATTATAGAAAAGATTGATCATAGATCTTGATTAATTTAGGGGCAGGAAAACGATACGCTCCGCGACAAAAGCAAGACGCTGAAATCTAGGCCATCACTCAATAAGTCAAAAGTCTACAGTCAATTCTTTGTGTATTTTTCTAGACCTCTATTTCTGGATATGCTCGTAGGATGCGATTTCCAAGCTTTTGTATATCCTCTTCTTTACGTGATTTAAGGGCACGTTTCATTCAAAAACGCACTTCGATGTATTTTAATTATAAAAAAAGTATTTTAATTATATTGTTTTCTTTTTCGCGAGAGGAAACTATTTTTAGGTTTTTGGGAAACTAGTTCGGGTATGTTATTATAATTCTACACAATTTGTGTCCTTTTCGCAACTTTTGTTTCGATTATAATTCGAAATTAGGAGATTATAAACCTATAATAAGCTATCCGTTTCATTGTCGTCCGATCCCATGTTTTTAATCCACCTTTCAATTTCTTTTTTTGGTCATAGTCCACCTTTCAATTGAAAAGCACAAGAATGGCCACAATTTGTTGATTTTACATTTCTTTCTTTTATAATTTTTTTTTGGCTTTAAGAAGATTTGTGAAATAAGATAAGCTACTATACGTGTTATCCAATTAAACGCATAAGTCATCAAATAGTAGAGTTAAATTCAAATCAAATATTTTGACGAATATCACGGTCATACAGCAGAGAATGAAAAATGTACAATTAGAGTCGATACTACCCAAAATAAAAATTCACGCGAATTAATTCAAACACATTCTTACTGAGCTACGAGAATAGAGTAATTCATTTTAATGTCAGAATAGTATTTTTTTTTAAGAGTAATTAGTAGATCGAATACGTGTATCTACATCGTAGATCTAATTAGTTGTTTCTTAGGTTGTTGGCATTCTTTAACGAGCTACGAGAGTAAAATTATTTTATTCAACTTATAATGTCGTCTTCTTCTTTTTTCGACCAGTAATTCTGTCGATTGTGTAAATGTCAAATCAGTGCGTCGTGGGATTTTGTACCTGGAGATTGGCCCAAAATGACCCTTTTTATTATGGGCGTGCACGTGGTCTCTGAGGCTGCGTGTACAAGTCGGTCGAAATTGAAGGGGGCAGTTGGAATTTTGTCAGAAATTCTCTCTCTCTCTCTCTCTCTCTCTCTCTCTCTCTCTCTCTCTCTCTCTCTCTCTATCATATCATTATTATTATTATTATTTGCTTATCGATGTGTAAAGTATTCATTCAGATGAATAAGAGAAGGGTCATAATTATAATTAAAAGAGAAAATACCACCAAAAATTTCAAATTATGTCACTTGTGATACATTTACCCTGGATTTTTTTTTGTGACACAAAAAATCCCAAACTATATCACTTGTGATACATTTACCCTGAACTTTTTTTTGTGACACGAAAAACTACAAACTATGCCACTTGTGACACATTTATCCCACAATACTTTAACCCATGGGCATTTTCGTCTTTTTGCTTTTTCTTTTTTTTTTCTTTCTTCTCCGACGAGGGCGGTCCTCGGCGAGGGCTGCCCTCGCCCGCCCAAGCGAGGGCGACCCTCGCCCGACGCCGGCGAGGGCTGCCCTCACCCTCGCCCGCCCAGGCGTGGGCGACCCTCTCCGGCGTCGGGCGAGGGTCGCCCTCGCCAGATCCGGCAAGGGCAGCCCTCGCTCAACCCACTGCCGGCGAGGACCGCCCTCGCCGGAGAAGAAAGAAAAAAAAAGGTAAAAAAAAACAGAAAAAGGAAAATGACGAAAATGCCCATGGATCAAAGTATTGTATGGTAAATGTGTCACAAGTGGCATAGTTTAAGATTTTTTGTGTCACAAAAAAAAGTTCAGGGTAAATATGTCACAAGTGACATAGTTTGAGATTTTTTGTGGCATTTTCCCTAATTAAAAAGCTATCGTCGCTCGTGGGTCTCTAATAATGAGTACAATCTAGCCATCGGTCACATAGGCTTTAAGATTAGTCTGATGATGGAAAGAAAAACCATGCAGCTTTGTGCTTTATCCATGTTCTTTTCAGTTTTCACATGTCTCATGCAATTTAAAAATTGGAATTACCCACGACATTAATTATCACTAGATAAAGAAGTATGATGCCACAAATCAAATTAGTCTTTATCTTATATACAGAATTAGGGAATTGATAGGATGAAGTTTTATCATTAAGCTAACACTTCGCACAACAGATTAGAGTTTTATTTTGCTGCCTTAATTATAATAACAGAGGAAATTGATTGCACCGATTCATCTTACTTCGACATTTGATATAGAAAAATAGAGTTGAACTATTTATTTATATATCTACTTAAAGAAAAGTAACTCATTTTATTGATTTTTGTAATCCAAGAGAAGATTTTACTTAATTCTTCATCTCACAATAAATATGTATTTGTTTGACTTGGCGCTGATGAAATTGACAAAGCATTTTTTTCCCTAAAAATTGTAATGATCTAAGACCTCTCTTGACTGACTTAAGATGCATTCTACCATTCTAGCAGCTTCCGAAACGAAAGACCGATCTATAAAACCATCTTTTCCTTTCTAAAGAAAGAGCTTGTTGAACCAGCTTAACACCCAACTATCTATAAGTAAAAAACGTTGGGAGTCCCTGTTTAAGGGAATAAACAACACCAAAAAGCCATATACATTATAGGTGTGCAAAATAATTGAGAATGCTCGGATCGATATTTTCTAGGCAATTCCCGGTTCCAATAAATGGGAACTGGTGACACCAGTCTGGTTCTCGGCTCCAGTTCTAGAACTGCCGAGCCGGACCACCCCAACCGAATTAGTACATATATATTTTTAAATTTTTATGTTTTGAAAATCCTAATTAGCTCTCTCTCACGCTCGCTACTCCTTCCTCTCTCCTCAGTCCTCCTCATGCACGCTCTCTCTAAATGAAACCTTAGCCTTTGGTCGCCTCTTAGTCTTTCTCACGTACGATCCTCTCAACTCTCTCGTCTCATCTCGCTTTCGGTTGCCTTTCAGTTGAGCTCTCACCTCCGATCCTCTATCATGGAAAATCACAGTCGCGGCCCTCACCTCCGGCCCTCCCTTGTAGTCGCGGCCTCACCTCCCTCTCTTAATCTCGCTCTCAATCGCCTCTGGCCTCGTCGCTCGCTCTCAAGTCTCACGCCTCTCTCTCGCAGCCTCGCTCGTCGCAATCCAGTGACTCTAATGGGAGCTTATTCCTGAGTAATCCATCACCAATTCTCTCTACTAATCCAGTCGCGATCAGTCAAGCAACTATAAGTCCTCTTAAAATCATCTTATTATATTCTGTGGCCCATGCCTCTTGCCTTCTCTCTTGCCCTAACACTCTCTCGAGAGAGCTTTGCCGAATCTCTTCTCGATATGGGTAAGTTTCTCGTCCCTTCCGTCGAGCATTTCGATGAATTAATCAGTCTTTCTGAATCTTCTTTGGTTCTGTGTCCAATCTGTCAGATTGATTACACCGGACCGTTTCTAATCCGAATGTCCTACTATTTTGTGTTGTGGATTAGTGGGAATCTGGCTCTCGTAATGATTGTTGTGTTGACCGGTTCCATGGATCCATCCGGTCCAATTCACCGGTGGGTTCATGGAACAAGTGGGCGGTTCCCGGTTCTTATTTTGTGGAACCAACTCTTAGTGGGCAGTTCTTGGTTTCAGGGTGGGAACTGCTTACCCTAGAATCAATCATCTCTAATATACATCCGAAAGATAATTAACGGAAGGAAGAAAAGAAAACATATGGCACATTCAATTTAGATAACATATGAAAGAATAAATGTGATATCATCACCCAATAAATAATCACGTAATAAAGTCTAATCCAACCTGACATGCACCAACCTTAGATTACTATTCCCAACATCATCATTAACAGTAAGCTCCGAGCTGCGAAGCAAAGCGAGCAGCTGATGAATACGCCGTAGTTCGGACTCCACCTGCCAAACACCAATGGCCAAGTCAAGGATCATGAGATAGCCCTCATGTTGGACTCGAAGATGATGGTCTCCATGGCAGAGTTTTATCCCGGTACCCTTAAAAACCGACAATTTGGGAGCACCACCTTTCGGCCCTCTAGGCTAGTCCATGCCATGAATTAACTTAGCCATGCCACTGAGATTTGGAAGCAACATAGTGTTAATGAGCATGTTCTGAAAATATCAATATAACATTAAATTATACATTATAAAGGGAAATACTTTTGCGAAAAAAACTTAGCCTGTGTTTGGCAATCACTTCGCCAAGGCTTTTGGGCCTCTAAAGAGGCTTGGCCAAATGGTAAGGGGTTTGACAATTTTTTTAAAGAACTTTAGGCAAATGCTTGTACAAAGTCATCTAAAGTCCCTTGGTACAAGGCAGATCCGTAGGAGTTTTGGGTTTTAGCATTTCAGAAATTGTAATAAGTTTTTTCTTCCAATTTCACCCTCGCTAAATTTCGAAATTCCTAAAATGCCCTCTCACGACCCAAGATATGACCACAGTCGAGCCAAACTGGGGCTTGCCTGAGGTCGTTGGTTGTTGGTGGCATGAGCTCTTCACCGCGGGCTTTCAGCGAAGGGTTTGAGGCTTAATTTTTTTTTTTTGTAGCAAAGTCCTCCACAAGTATGATTTTTTCCAAACAGTATTTAACCAAAGTTATTTCTCAATGCTCTTTTACATAACACATTTATAAACACTATTTGCATTTCGAGTAAACCCTTTAACTTAAAGCTTTTTGCATTTTCCCAAAAATTTCTCCAAAAGTCAAACCAAACACAACCTTAGTAATTACATCTTACTATTTTGGCAAAAGTTGAAGTGGAAATAACTAAAAAGGAAAAAAAAATCCAGATGAAGCAATAAATTTGTCAAGAATCTAATATCGCATGCATCCAGTGAATATGTGCATAGAGAAGAATGAAGGAAAGAATGGAGTGAAGCTAGACGAAAGTGATTTATGAGGCACAAATGAATAATACGCAAACAATAGTGGAATATATTGTATGATTTTTTCTGCCATAGATTTCAAGAACGGTTCGAAAATTATCCAATCAATCTTAAACATATTATACGAATGTCAATTCAGTCATAAACATTTCAATTGCCAATTTAATCCTAAATCTTTGCATAAAATTTCAACATAGTCCTATCGGCCAATTTTTGCCGGCAATCATTGACATGGTGGTTTAGTCATCTCTTGCTGTCCTATATGGTACACCATCATGTCAGCAATTTTCGACGAAAGTTAGCCATAAGGACTACATTAGAATTTCGCACAAAGGCTTATGACTCAATTGGAAAAATTCAAAAGTTTAGGACTAAATTGACATCCGTATAATATGTTAAGGACTGGTTATACAATTTCCCCAAATTTGAAAATAATTCGGAGAAAAACTTATGACCCTTGTTGCTCCACGGCTATTATTTCCATGAGAAAGCTAGCTATCAACCTAATTCATCTATTTGCTGGTAAGATGCCACACCACTGTTAGCAACTTAATAATGGGGAACAACAAAATTTAAAAAAATGAAACTTGAACAATCGTCTCCTTGCCACCACAGAAATAATCTTTTCAAAAATTTCTCCTGAGCTGTATTAATTTCTTGGAAATGAAATAAAACCATAAATATAAGCAGCCAGGAGAAAAGAATGGTAATTTCATGCGTGGAAATAATTACTTGCTTTGGTTGAATCTTTCAGAGTGAAGAAAATTCCTTCTTGAGAGGACAACTGGGAAAGCAATCAAATCCTAATCAATCTTTAATCGATCGTCCATCGAGCTCGTCCCTTGCAATAATAGGCTTGTGCCACACGATTTATAAACTTAAGCAAATCATCATCATCATCCATATATGGAAATCTTGTAACATAAATCCTAAAAAAGGCCAAATTTATGAAGGCATAATTAGAATTACAGATTCAAATCCAAGGTTGAGTATCACATAAGAGACAGTATGAACTATACAAAATATTATGGAAAGATACCAAAGTCTGATTTAGTTTATTGCATTGATTAACTAACTAGAAAATTTCCAAATATTTGATAATATTTGGCAAATCACAACTTGCATTATCATTAGGCTAATTGGGTTCCATCTCTGCATTGAAATCAATTAAATTCAAATCCCTAAATCGTTTTTCACTCGTCGCGACTTATGTCGAGCTTCCTATTTCGGTCAATGACTTATTGCATCAAAATTCTATACACAAAGAAGAGAAATATTAGAGCAAAACTGATCATTTTCATTTCTTACCTACTTTGCTTGTCCATTTTGTTGAGAGATTTGAGCTCGAGAAAGTCCGGTGGCTGATCTCTCTCGTAGACGCCAGCGAGAAGCCGTGAGTTCGCACCTTCGTCCGTTTTCAGAGGCTTATTACTGGGGAGACACAGCTGCGAAGCCATCGAACTCGGATCGAGCTCTAACGGATTGCTGTACATTGAGCTCGTGCTTTCCATTACCGGGACCGTGCTGCTAAAATCAGTGTACAATGGGTAAGAATGAACGAGTTTACGAAATAAAATCAGTGCTAATGAACGTTTGATTTTTCAGTCTATATATTAAACATAAGAAAAAAAAATATCACTATTCCAAATTTAATGCACAATATAGTTACAGGAAATTAATTTTATTTCGAACATTTTGTTCATTTTGATCAGAGCATTGGTAAGGACTGAAAGCAAAAGCTTACAGAAGCCGCCTGCAAATCGAAAGATGGAAAGACATTCTTATAAAGGAAAATTTCCAAAACCTTATTGTTCCCGAAGATCAAATTCCAAAATCAAGTGAAATATATTGTCTGCAAATATCCACATTCAGAACACAACTCAGTGGTACTTCAAGAAAGCTGTAGAACAAATGTGGCATATCAATACTGAAATATGAATTACTTAGAGAGATATATTAATGCTAAGTTGAGTGCCTGAGGCCGCGATTTTAATTCGTAAAATCCTAGTGAATTTGACACCTAGCCTTAAGTTTTGCAGGAAAAAATGATTCAAGTTTCAAAACAGAAAAATTTTAAAAGAATATTGTCATTTGAATTCCTCGTACCTGCTTATTTGTTCGTCGAGATAATTCAATGGCTGATCGCTTCGGCAAACATGACCCGGCAGAGGGTTCGCGCCTGAGGGTTCATCGACTCGACACGATGAAGTCGACGCTCCGAGATCCTCCGTCATGAAATAGTCACGCAATAAAACCTCTTGATCTTCACTCGATTTTTGCGCCAACCCTAGATTGTTATTCTGGACATTGTTAAGCTCTGAGCCGCGAAGCAAAGCGAGCAGCTGATGAGCACGCCGGAGCTCACACTCGACCAGCCGAACCCTGGCGGCCAGGTCGCAGATCACGCGGTAGCACCCGCCTGCACGGTCGAAGGCCCTCATGTTGGACTCGAAGATGATGGTCTCCATGGCGATCCTGCGGACCTCGGGCGGGAGGTTCCTGGTCAGCTCGTTCATGTTCCGGAGGCCGTAGAGGGCGCGCGCGTTGGCGAAGGTCTGCGGGAGGGTGGCGGGGAAGAACTCGGCCCACTGGCAGTCGGGACGGCACTTCCGGCGCTGGTGCCGGCACGCGGCGCACGCCCGCGAGTCGGGCTTGGAGGCGGCGGCGGCGGCGGCAGCGGTCGGCATGGCCCTTTTGCCTGCCTCCTTTGCTTATAACTATGGTAAGGGAGTGATTTGCGGGGGGAGGAGATGGAGAATATCTCTGCGTGCGAAGTGGAGCAAAGGAAAATGGTTCTTTGAAGAGAGAGAGAGAGAGAGAGAGAGAGAGAGAGAGAGAGATTTCATATAAAGTAACTGAAAGGTGTTGTGGGAAGTGGTGGATATGGAGAGAGAGGCAGGACGTGGGGGGCGTTTGTTGTTGATATTTGGTGTCATATCTTTGAGCTAATTTGACTGAATGTTCTTGCTTGTTGGTTAAGACTTTTCTTCTTCTTCTTTTTATTTTTTATTTTCACCTTCATTTATATTTCCTAGATTATGTTGATCATTCTCTCTCTTGCTAAAGATGAGTAGGAGTAGGTGGGGGTGTCCATTTTTGGGTTCCAAATATATGTTGTAATATAAATATACACTTCATTTTTTAAAACCGATCTAGGGTGCCGAAATCGATGGGGAAAATTGTTTAAAAAGTCCTAAATCTATTGTGCATTTACCAATTCAGTCTCAAACAATTCAATTTTACCAATCGAGTCCTAAACATTTTCAAGTTTCGCCAATTGAGTTCATTCAGCTAATTTTGGCTACAAATTGCTAATGTGGATATCGACCGTCCAAAATGGCATGGTCGAGGCTACTGATGTGAACAAATTTAATATTTTTATCAAAATTTTAATATTTTTCCTTTCTTTTATTTTCTTATTTTTTATTTTTCTCTTTTTCCCTCCATCGGGCCTCGTTGATGGCCGGCATCCTTCACCACTCTCAAGCAAGGGTTGCCCTCGCCAGCCTTGGGCAATAGACGCTTGGGCTTAGGCTAGCGAGGGCAACCCTCGCCAGGGGCCGGCGAGGGTAGCCATCAACGAGGCTTGGCAGTGGCCGGCGGAGGGGAAAAGAAAAGAAAAGAAGAGAAAAGGAGAAAAAAGAGAAAAGAGAAGAAAAGAAAAAATTAATCGAAAAAATATTAAAATATTATTAAAAAAAATACTCACGTTAGCGCCGGCAGTGCCACGTAGGATGGCTAGCATCTACGTTAGCAATTTTGGTGGGATGGACTCAATTGGCAAAATGTGAAAAGGTTTAGAACTCAATTGGCACAAATTCCGACCAAAAAATAAAATTGGCACAATTAAAAGTTTTATGACAGAATTGTCAAAAGTGTAATAGGTTTAAAACTTTTTGGACAATTTTTTCGAAATCGATGAGATCTCGACTTAAACCGGTTGATGCTTTTGTTGGTTGAGCTTTACCTAGTAACATCGCTTTAGCAAATCTTTAATCCTAGAAAACCTCTAATATTGTATCCTAAGGGCTCGTACATTAAAACTGAAAAATTAAGTGTTGAGCGCTAACGAATTCAAGTGCTGAAAATAGAAATTGAAAGTTGTTTAAATTGAATGTTACTATTTTTTATTTTTATTTTGTAAACCAAACAAGAAATTGTGAGCATAGGTTTTAGCAAATATGATTGACAAGATTATATATATCATTAATTACGTTTACCACTTGATGAATTAAGTAACCCCTTCCTTCCTGATTTTTATTTTAAGTGATTTTTTACTTAATTGAATCTTTCAAGTCAAATTTATTTTTTTATATAAAGTCAAAGTTATTTTAGTTATCAACCTAGCTTGCTGTCATTAAGTGCTGAATTCTTTAATTTTCAATTCTTAATTGGGTAAAAAAAATTTGTTAATTGGGTTATTTGACAGACTTTCTTAAGTATATTGTAAAAGTTAATCCTAACAAAAACTCTAACTCTGCATATCTAAGTCTTATCCATATATTGGTAACAAATCTTATATGGGGTTATGCTTATTTTGGTAATAAATGTGTACAAATAATATTTTTTTATACATAGATTCTATTTTGACATTTCCATATATTATGTGTTTAAATATAATTACTTACAACGAGGATTTGAAAGAGCTTAACACGTAGAGATACCTATCTAATATAACAGATAATAACATTAGAAGATCAATTTAGTGGCCTCATATTTGACAAATAGATGAAATTTAACACATATTTGACAAATAATTATAACACCACAAAAACAATAAAAATATCCATTCTCGCAAAAAAAAAAGGTCATATAACATGCTTTCCCAGTAAATGAATAAAATAAAATTAGCCATCATATAAGGGAAAAATATATGTTTAAGAGAGTTCTATTACACGATTGCGTGCATTTCAAAATCAAGCACTACGAAATGTATAATAATCGATGATTGTTAGGATTTTTTTTTTTTGGTCAGCGATGATTGTTAGGATTGAAAGGTTGTATATGCAGCCATTATGACAAAATACTTTGTCATAGAGTCCTTTTAAATTAGTTGTTTTTTCAATATAATATTTGTTTAATGAGTAATTTTTTTATTAATTTGCTAATGTCTATTTGTACGTCAAATATGTGTTATCATCTTATTTACATCATGTATACAACATTTGTTTGTTAAATATGTGCTACTATGCCATGCATTATTTTATTGACGTTTTAATAGCGTTTATTTGTTAAACATATGCTCGTACGTTATTCGATTTACTTTATTTTTGTCAATTGTATAATGATATGAATGGCACCAAATATAAGAGCGCTTTTGTTCTCATCAATTATAGAGTAAATAGAACTCTTCAAGATGTAGAGTGTTACATAAGTGTTATCAATAATTATACACTTAGTCATGTTTATTATGAAATAACACGCTTTTTATTCATTTTACTATTTAATAACTCATAATCCTATTTTGGTAACACAATAATTGCAACTTGAAAATTTAAAACAGACTTTTCAAGTAATTAACTATTATTTAATGGATGAAAATGGGAGAATTTTGAATCCTGATTCATGCAGTAACATCATTTTGAATTCATTCAATTTGAATTGGTATTTTCTCCATCTATCATAATTATTTTGAAGAAAGATCCACAATAATTAGTCTTGAACAGTTTTTGCACTCTTTGTATAACCCTCCAAAAATTATTATTTCGTTGTGTAGACTTTTTGTAATAATGGAAACCCTTTTTCTATTGGTTTACTAATAGTTTTCCCTATTTTTTCAACATTCATCCATTTGTAAAGGTTGTAATTTATATGTTTTTTCCATGACAATTGATTTTTTTTTTGTCATTGATTGTAATATATAGGCTATCGTGTCATAATGGGTATCCATTCAACTTTTTTAATCGAACACGTTAACAGTGCTTATCTTCCCAAATCACTAGCTTATTGAAGACTTAGTCATAAACAGGAGTAATCGCGCCGAAATTAGGTTAAAGATCACCTTCTTTAAACAGTTCAAGAACTAGGTTATTGCTCCACGACATGCACAATGCTGTATTCCTGAGAATGAACTTTGTAAATGAAAATACCGTGTATTCTCTCTCTCTCTCTCTCTCTCTCTCTCTCTCTCTCTCTCTCTCTCTCTCTCTCTCTCTCTCTCTCCTGAAGAGAAAGGTGGAAGTGGTGTGGCTTCACCTAAGAACTGAGCTGAAGATTTCAGTATGATCAGGCTTTGAAATCAAAGTTCGCTGGTTTTCTTCCAGCTGATGCTCCGTTCTAGCAAGCAGCAACCCGTGAACGTGGGTGTCCTTCTTAGCGATATTAGTTCTGTTTAACTATGATCCACGATGACTTTAAATGAAAGTGCCCAACACTTTCCAGGAAGTCTAGTTTTTTAGACTCTTTGGAAGACCATGAAGGGAGATCTGCTGCTATTCAGATAAATATTCAATTCTTTTTTTCTTTTTCGGCTTGATAAGGTATGTGGAACCCCACGATTCTCGAGTTGCATTACCTGGAAATGAGTTGAGGTCCCACGCTCTTAGAATTATATGTAGCGTTCTATGAACGTCTCTATAGATAAATAACCTCATAAGCAGCCGTTGTTGATTCCAGCATTACACATATATTCAAAGATGGGGGGAAGAACAGCAGAAGTGCCAAAAGTTATGTACGGAGCTCACTTTGGTGCCAAAAGTTTCAAACGGATCACTTAAGTGCCAAAAGTTTACGCCGGCGATCACTTAAGTGCCAAATCGGAGAAAAAACGATCACTTAAGTGCCAACGGCGAGAAATTCTGATCAAATTTAATACGTGGCTTTTATATTTAAATTTTAATGACACGTGGCATTTCCACGTGTATAATTCAATTTTTTAAATATTTTTTTCTGATTTTTTTTTCTTTCTTTTCTTTTTTCTTTTCTTTCTTCTTCTTCTTCTTCTACCATGGCCGGTGGCTGGAGGCCAGCCAACGGCCAGGGCCAGCCTCGCCGGGCGTCGCCTTCCACCGGGCGAGGCCCGGCGAGGCAGTCGTGGCCTCGGCGAGGGCCGGCCTCCCCCGATCTGGCGAGGCGAGCCCTCGCCGAGGCGTCGCCTTCCTCCGGCGAGGCCGCCGTGGCCTCGGCGAGGGCCGGCCTCGCCGGATCTCGGCGAGGCGAGCCTCGCCAAGGCCACGGTGGCCTCGCCGAGGCGTCGCCTTCATCCGGGCGAGGCCCGGCGAAGCCACCGTGGCCTCGACGAGGGCCGGATCTCGGCGAGGCGAGCCCTCGCCAAGGCCACGGCTGCCTCGCCGAGGCGAGCCCTCGCCAAGGCCACGGCTGCCTCGCCGAGGCGTCGCCTTCCTCCGGGCGATGCCGCCGTGGCCTCGGCAAGGGCCGGCCTCGCCGGATCTGGAGATGCGAGCCCTCGACAAGGCCACGGCGGCCTCGCCGAGGCGTCACCTTCCTCCAAGCGAGGCACGGCGAGGCCGCCGTGGCCTCGCCGAGATCCGGCGAGGCCGGTCCTCGCTAAGGCCACGGCGGCCTCGGCCTCGCCGGAGGAAGGCGATGCCCGCGAGGCCGGCCATGGCCGGTGGCCGGACGCCGGCCATGGCCGGTTGCCGGACGCCGGCCATCGGAAATAAGAAGAAAGAAAAGAAAAAAAAGAAAATAAAGGAAAAAAGAAAGAAAACGAAAAAAAAGAAAAGAAATGCCATATCAGCCTCCGGCGAGTCACATCAGCTTGAGAAATTAATAAAAAAATGCCACGTTGGATTTCCGGCGATGTGGCACTTAAGTGATCGTTTTTC